AGATCAGTGGTTGAAAAGATGCAAGAAATATCTTTGTAAGTTTTTTGTTAAATACTAATACTTTCAAAGAGAGAGAGAGAGAGAGAGGCTTCATTTTCTTCATCTTCCCGCTGTCTGAGGGGAAAGGATTTACTAAATTTGTGTTTTATTTTGTTTGTTTCAGATTTTTGCGCAAAGCTATACAAGTGTTACCTGTGCATAACTACCCCTAATTTTAAAACTGTAGAAAGAAGGTAAATCTTTGGTTATTTTTGTCTGACTGAAGAATGATGTGTAAACGACTGTGTCTAGTAGAGCACATCCAAGGTCCACCTATTTTCGGCAATGGATCACAGAACACTCTGATTCTAGTGTGAATAGGCTGTATCACTGTACTATCTTTTCATGTATATTTTTTACTCTTTATTGAGCTTTAATTACCTGATAAATGAAGTCTTAAATATTCTAATTATACACCCCACCCCCCCTGGAGTGAAACCTTTGAGAACCCCCTCCTCCATGTTTGGTTCTTAGTTTACAAATGTGTGAATGTTTTCGTTGTTGTTTTACATTTATGAAATACGAGCAGCCAGAAAGAGTTGAAACAGTACTTTCGCTCCAGGAATAATACAAATACCTTACACGAGGCAGCCCTAACTTGACCTCCAGCAATCACTGACAAGTGGAGTGACGGGTTTGTGTCAGACAAAGCAGCTTGGGCATTGTCTACGAGTGTAATCTGTGATTAACGGTGTTTGTCCATTCACCCAGTGACTTCTGTAATACTAGATACACGAGCTGAAGATATTCCACTATTAATCATCTATGTAAAAACTTCATTACAGCTGTATATTACGACTTCCCTGTGTTTTTCGTTTTGGTTTTACATCCATCAGCTTATATTTGATAATAGTCTACATTATTATCAGGTGAAAAGTATATACATAATTATTTGTAATTATTTCAACATCCATCAAAATCTAACCACTTCTATCGAACTTTGAAACAACTGAAACTGACAACATCAACCGTTAGAACTAATTCCATAATTGGTGTCTATAATTTTAAAACAAATTAGGAATAATTAAGTAAAAGATAATACAACTAAAAGAATGTTGTAAGTGTTGATCGGTAATAGTAACGAGTAATCTATTCGTCTGGAATTATAGTGTTAAAAGTTGTAGGTGGATTTATAAAGTGCTACTTATTTAACAAGCCTAACAGATATCAAGGATTTAGGTTTAGAGTGTTTCATTAGTTTTAGCACTGGAATTTCGATTCAACCAGTGCGACAATGGGGATAGTATAAATAAATTACACACCCCCTGGGACACAATTATCGTTTGTTTTGTTTGAATTCGTGATGCAATGTGGAACTTAAACACATTACTTCTAACAGTTTAATATTATATGAAAATTAAGTTATTATTTTATTATTTGTTAATATATATCAGGCTTAGCATTAATCGTAAAACAATTCAACTGACACTAGATACACAACACAGCTTTGGGGCGCTGTTTGGCCCGGCATGGCCAGGTGGTTAGGGCGCTCGACTCGCAGTCTGCTGGTCGCGGGTTCGAAACCCCGTCACACCAAACATGCTCGCCCTTTCAGCCGTGGGGGCGTTATTATGTGATGGTCAATCCCACTATTTGTTGGTAAAAAGAGTAGCCCAAGAGTTGGCGGTGGGTGGTGATAACTAGCTGCCTTCCCTCTAGTCTTACACTGCTAAATTAGGGATGGCTAGCGCAGATAGCCCTCGTGTAGCTTTGCGCGAAATTCAAAAACAAACAAACAAATCTTGGGGCGCTATTATATATATAGCTCAGTGCTTTGGGGACGTAAGCGCCATCTGTTATTTTTTCAAAGTAGTTTTAGGCAATGTATTTGACAAATGGACTGTATTTTCTATGTACATGTACTTCTGGGCATTTGGGTTTGGGGTACATGTATCAAATCCCCTAAGGTACCTCATAATTTACTCACAAAAAATTATAAACAACCTAGTGGTTTTTCAAAAAAAAGAGAAACAAGAAAGGTGGCCTACAGCGCCCCCGTGTGGCTGCAGAGAAACAGGAAAGTATTAAAGGGAAATTAAGATATCACAGGATTTTACACTGTGGTTGAGATAGGATTTTTAAGGTGGGAAATTCCCTTTTATGATCCATTTTCTAGTAGCAACAAAGTTGGAATATATATATAGACATCCCCGTAAACTTTTACACAAGATTTATGTTTTAATGTCAAATTTCGGCACTGGCTTATAGCATTAAAACTTTTCTGCTGTTTGATTCTCCCTAGTTGTCATTCTTTTTGTTATTTTGTCACTCTGTGGACCAGGAATTTGAATTATGACCAATTATAAACTGAGGGGGAATTATAAAGATATGAGGAGTTCCTGACGGTTTATAACGCTAAAAACCGGGTTTCGATACCTGTATCTGGCACAGCACAGATAGCCCATTGTGTGCTTGAAAACAAATGAAATTAATTAAGCAACTAAAGGAATTAACTAAGGGAAATTTCAGTTTGAAAAATTAATAAATGAAAACCAAATTTTAAAGTACCATAACATATCAAAAGAAAGATAAAGAGTTTATAAAGTCTAAAATAAATATAAACAATATATGTCAAGAATAAAAACTGTAATAATTTAAAACCTCAAAATTCAAAGAAACATAACGAAATTTTTAAAATTAAATTAAAACCGAAAACAAAACTGCAATTAAAATTTTTAATATTAAACCACAAGAGTTTAGTAACTATTAACTAACTGAATAATTAGTCTTTTCTTCTGTATTTTGTTCTAATTTTAATTTCTCTTAAAAGGAAATTATTTTTATTTTTCCATTCAGCATAGGAATGAAACATAATTCTTTAAGGGATTTGATAAGATGTTTTAATGATAAACATTAAGTATTACTGGTAGAGAAGTTAAAGCATATATTGGACAATAAGCTACTTGCATATATAGAGAGTTATAAGTATTAAATTGATGTCAACTTTAAACGAGTACAGAAGGTCACATGACTCGGTCAAATCGACCGACCCCTTGTCGAAAGATTTAATCTGATAAACATTAAGTATTACTGGTAGAGAAGTTAAAGCGTATATTGGACCATAAGCTACTTCAATATTGGAAAACAAATCTAATAAAAAATGTATAAATTTCAATTATATATTTGCTGTACGTCCTTTCTGTTTTGGTGTTGTTTTTAATTCTGATTCAACCTATGTTTTCGGTAAATAATTTAAATGATTATATCAGTTTAATTTTCTATCACATATTAGGTTTTAGGGTTAAGAATAAGTTTTCATAAACGATACCATAATCCCAATAATATTTAGTTACCGAGAATATTAAAATCCAGTATGCAGTGCCATCGTCATATCGGGCAGTGTTGTTAATATACTTAGTACGTAAGGTAAACTCCTGTTTCAGGGCTATAGTAATCTGTTTGTTTAATTTGAAATAAAACTATTTGTCCATTTAGTACGACTACAAAGAAGTTGAAAATAATCTATTGATTTAAACAATATGATGCAAAATTTTGCTTGAAGCTTTTTCAAAATGTCAGAAGTGTTACAGCTCCCTCTCAGAGTCGCGCTTAGTTGCTAATCAGAACATTCCTTGTCGATTTTATCAGAAGCCCACAGAAACCTGTTTTGTACACATAGAACGTGTCGTATCCTATGAATCAATTAACAATTCAGGTGGTGACCTTGAAGTTATGACCATTTCAACTTAAGGTGTAAACTGATGACAAGTTAATGTTATATTTTCTCCACAGGCACAGAAGCTCAGATCTAGTAGTGACGTATGCCTGCAACAGCGTCTGCAAGTTCTGCTGGGCTACGAGTTCGGATGCGAAGTAAGTTTGTCAGTAGTTTGTGCAAGTTGTTGTATACACATGACCACTTTTAGAAGACTTATACACATACACAGAGGGCTGAGAGATGTATTACACCATGTTGGATATACAAAACTGTTTAGCTTAATAGTTATTATTTAGTTTATTTAGTGATTTAATATTTAATGAATACTTAGTTTTTATAACAAGAGGGTTAAAACTCAATCATTTTAAAAGTAATAGTTATGACAAATTTAGTTACGCAACTCGGTAAGAGCCGTACATTGTGTGTGTGTGTAGTTCAATAGTTGTAGTATTGTTGACGTCATCTTTCTCGAAACCTCTAAGTTTTTCTCGCCATGTGACTATTGTTACATCATCCTAGTTTGTAGAAAGTTCTAGGCCTAAGTTGGAAAATCTATAAATATAGGCGATCAAGTGAAGTTTAGTCAAAAAAAAGTTACAAAACGTGAGTGATTAACATTAACGGGTGATATCTTAAGGTGAGTTTCACAGTTTAACAGAGATAGGGGGAATAATTTGTCTTGTCAAAGGGTGTTCTAAAGTAATTGAACCCGCCTGTGGACTTTGACGAAAAGGAGACAATTATCTAAAGTTCAGAACAAAACTGTGTTAATCCACGGAGTAACGTAAGTGAATTACTCGCTGATACTACTGTGATAAGAGTAGAGAAAAATAATTCTTCTTGTCAATTGGATTCTAAAGTAATTGAATTAGCCTGTGTGGACATTTGAGAAGAAAAGAGGACTACTTAGAGCTTTAGATAAAACTGATTTCCTAGTGTGTAAAAATTTTTTGTACATACGTTTGACTTGTTTTCAATATATATTATTTTAAAACAAGTGTATTGTGTGGTGCCCATTTATTGTTCAAATTTTTCGCCAACGATTCACAGCTGCCTATTCCTATTCATATTAAGAATCTGACATAACATCATAACACAGCCTTGTAGACTTCTAAACACACAGGGCTAGGAGATGTGTTACACCATCATAACACAGCCTTGTAGACTTGTACACACAGGGCTAGGAGATGTGTTACACCATCATAACACAACCTTGTAGACTTCTAAACACACAGGGCTAGGAGATGTGTTACACCATCATAACACAACTTTGTAGACTTGTAGACACACAGGGCTAGGAGATGTGTTACATCATCATAACACAACCTTGTAGACTTGTAGACACACAGGGCAAGGAGATGTGTTACACCATCATCACACAACCTTGTACACACACAGGGCAAGGAGATGTGTTACATCATCATAACACAACCTTGTAGACTTGTAGACACACAGGGCAAGGATATGTGTTACACTATCATAACACAGCCTTGTAGACTTGTAGACACACAGGGCAAGGAGATGTGTTACACTATCATAACA